CTTTCTTTGAACTCTCATTTTAAACTGAAGAATCACCCAGGGAGCTCTGCAGCATGACAAACCTGGATGGAATACGGATCCCCAACTGCTGGCCACTCGCTGGAGGCAGGGCAGAAGCACACACTGAGGAGACAGGCCCTGTTTCAGCGACAGCCGCGGTCCCTGGCCCCTCGAGTGGTCAACGATGTGCTGTTACTTGCTGCTGTCCAGGGGCGACACGTGTGTACCAAGCCCGGTGCTTCCTGGGTTCTCAGTGCTCTAGCCCCGCAGAAGCGCATCACCAGGCCTGTCTTCCGAGGTGCCCCTGGGTGGGCTTGAACCACTGACCTCGGGCTAGTAGTCAAACGCTTAACCATTTACACCACCCAGGGAGGTTCATGGTCAACAATGCCCAGCCCCAGCACCAGTATCGACTGGGGTGGGGGGTCTTCTTCCCACCCCCACCCCACCTCCATGTGGTGAGGTTGGAATGAGCTGACTTTCCTGCCCAGAGAACCATCCTGCCTTCAGTCCCCAAGGCCTCTTCACTGGCATGGCTGGACGCTGGTACTGGCTAAGCCATGGCCCCTGGCTCTCCTGACAAGCTCAGGTGGGGTCAGTCTATAGGTCCCAGTTGCCCCACCCAACTCCAATGTCCAACCCCAACAAACATACCCGGAAGCCTCCTGGACCCCTCTGCCTGGAACCAGTCACATTCCTTCCAACCCCTGAGGGCCCCAGTGTGGCATCAGGGTGAGCCCTTAAAACTGCCCCTGGCCAGCCCTGGTGTGGAGAACTGAGAGCTGGCTTCAGCTCTTTCCCTGCCCCTGACCTCTGCATAGCTCTGGGCAGATTGCTGCCTCCAGCCGGAATCCTCAGCATATATAGCAACTCTGATTCCTTCTCCCAGGAAATCCAATGAGGATGAGGAGGAAGCACTAACTCCACACACCAAGTACCTTGGAAACGCTCCCACGGCAACTCGTTTCCTCCCTCTTTCAGCCCTGAGGCAGAGGATTCTCCCCATCTTAAACTGAGACATTGGGAAGGTAAGTCACCTGACGGGTCCTTCCCAGCCACACTAGTAAGTGGTGAGTCAGGGATTAAACCTAGCTGTCCAATTCCCTAACCCGTGCCCTGACCACCTGGCTCTGCTGCCACTCCACCCACACAGCAGGCCTGTATGACTGAGGCTTTTGATTCACGGTTTTCATCAATAATCCTCTCTGTGCCAACCCCCAGTCGGACTCTGAGGGTCAGCAGAGGGAAGGGGAAGGGCTCTGAGACTAATGAAGATATATCAAGGGACCCCCTAAAGCCCACTGCCACTGAATCAATTCCAACTCAGGACGACCCTGTAGGGCAGAGTCGAACTGCCCCACAGGGTTTCCCAGAGCGTAATCTTTCTAGAAGCAGAAGGCTATGTATTTCTCCTACAGAAGGCTGGTGGCTTTGAACCACCCATCTTTTGGTTAGTAGTGGAGTGTGTCACCAGGGCCCCACTTCTATGTCCATAACCCAACCAAAACCACACCGACTGCCATCCAGCCAATTCTGATTTGTTGTGACCCCACGGGACAGAGTGGAACTGCTCCCTGGGGTTTCCGAGTCTGTCCATCTTTATAGAAGTAGACGTGACCACCCAGTGCTGCTAAAGGGCATCCCCTCCATGGCTGCCTTTCTGCAGAGAAAGCAGATCGTTCATCCTCTCCAGGAGCATGTGCCCGACTGATAGCTGCCAGCTGAGAGACTAACAATGCCCCCAGGCAGGAGCTAGCGGACTAGAACATCTCCCCAGGAAGCCAGACACCAAGAGGTCATCTGCTGCCCTGCTGCAAGGTCACCCTGCTCTGAAGCTAAAGCCAGACCAAGGCCCAGCTCAACCTAAGAGACTCAACACTCGGCAATGTCCGAGCTGAACGGGCCCAATGGCAGCCCCTCTCAGCCCAAACTGAAAGGGCCTGCATCCCTCGGTGGGGGTGGGGGTTGGGGTGTATCAGAGCAGCCCAGCCACCAGGTGGTGGCACCCAGAGTAGACTCTGGTGGGTGCCTACCCCACAGACTTCCCATTCCTCCTTTCTTAAGAGAATGCCTTAGTCTTTGGGCCCATGTTCTTCAGGGAGTTGAGCCACAACCAGCCCCAGAGCAGGTGTCATCTTGACCCAGCTCTGCCAATATCGACTCTGAGTTCGCAAGGCCCTTGCCGAGTGATTGGTTGACATGGCACGTCACATGATTCTGGTGAATGGGAGAAGTCTGTTCCCCTTCTGAGAAGGCCTTCTTACTTAAGAAATGGTGCATCGGAAACAAGAAGCCCTCTATTCATCGTCCACGGTGCTGGACTCCACTGAACAGGGCAGTAAAGCTTGGAGGGGCTTTACTGTCATGAGAGGAATTAGTCCAGAGCCCTGAGCTTGTTAACCTCCAGGGTAAACAAAAGCCCCTGGGCCTCTTGTTATGTAGAGAGCAAATCCTCTAGTACTCACACTGCTTTTAGTTTGAGGCTGTTGTATCAAGCAGCCAAAAACACCCTCCCGGACAGAGCGTTGAAGATTCCCCCACTTCTCATAAGACAGGGGCTCACGTCTCCCCGATACAGTTTTGAAGACTCCCCCACTTTGCAGTAAGATGGGCTCACAAAGAATGAAAGACTGGGCTGGCCTAGAATGACTCAGTTTACCTTCTTATTGGGTCCTTGTCCAAAGTGAGCAGATGTAATTGGTCTAAAGTTAGCAAACAGAGCCTACACAAATACCTCTATTGGCTAGGTCCAGTCCCAAGACTGCAGGAATTGTGGGAGATAAGAAAGATGCACAAGACAGGATCCCTGCCCTCCAGGCGCTCACCCCCAGGCTGAGGAGTTAAGATGTGTGTGTGTGTGTGTGTGTGTGTGTGTGTCTGTGTGTGTTGGGGGGGGGATGTGTGTATGTGTGTGTGTACCGACTCTGACAAAGTGTATGTATAAGGACCTTTCCATAACCCTTTGGGCTGGGGTGATGTGGAGAGGTGTCCTAGAGGGCAGAAGACTTTTTCAAAGAGCTGTATTTAAGCAGTCTTGATAAATTAACAAAAACCCTAACACAAATTCTAACTTAATTAATAAACACAGATATGGACACCTAGTAGGTGTCAGGGCCACCATTCACTTTCAGGCTTGTCACATTGTGGTTTCCTGTTATACTAGAAGTTATGCCAACAGTATTCCCAATACCGGCAGAGCCATGCATGATAGACAGGTTTCAGAAGAGCTCCCAGAATAGGAAGAAGGAACTGACAGACAGCTTCTGAGGGACCAACGCTGGAAACCTTATGAATAGCAGCAGAACGGTCGTTGAGATCGTACCAGACGATGGGAAGACACGCAGACACAACTGGGGAAGAGTGGCCTTAAAGGAGCATCAACCCTAATGATGCACGCAGAGCGGAGCTTTGGGGACTAACAGGGACAACTCAAAATGAAGAAAAAAGTCTGCAAACATCCATCAGTAATCGGAAAGTGGAATGTCCGGAGTATGAATCTAGGAAAACTGGAAATAGTCAAAAATGAAATGGATCACCTGAAGCTCGAGCCCCTGGGCCCTGGTGTGAGCTGAAATGGCCTGGAAGCAGCCACTTTGAGTTGGACTATTACATGGTTTACTCCAAGAGGAACGGTTAAAAAGAACATTTCGAAATCTTAAAGTACATAATATTCATACGTTTGTCGGGAACTTCCCTTAGCACAACTAATATCCCAGTGTACACATGCAGGACTACAGCCAGCAATGAGGAAAGGGAAGGACTGGACCGGCTTCCTCAGTCTGACTCTGGTCAAACATGCACTCATAATTACTGGGGACTGGGACGTGGATGTTAGAAACAAAGAGGAAGGAACAGTAACTGGAAAATATGGCTTGGATGATATAAATGAAGCTAGAGATCACGTGACAGAATTTTGCAAGACCAGCGACTTCACTGCAACTACCTTTTTCAACAAGGTAAACGGTGACTATACACGCGAAGTCGCCAGACGGAATGCACAAGAACCAAACTGGCCACCTCTGTGGGAAGAAATGATGGAGATGCTCAGGACCAGCTCAGACAAAACCAGAGGCTGGCTGTGGAACAGACTTGCAAATGCTCATATGGAAGTTCAGGTTGAAGCTGAAGACCGTTAAAGCAAGTCCACAAGAGTCAAATGCAACTGTGACTGTATCCCCTGTAATGTTTTAGGGCATGCGGCTCACTAAGCACTGAGGACAGAAGACCAGAGGAGTGCTGAGATGGCATGAGGGCATGGCACATGGAGAAAGCAAAAGATCGTTAAGAGACAAAAAAGAAAAGACCAAAGTAGCCGTCAGAAAGGCCTCTGAAACTGGCTCTTGAACAGAGTAGCTAAAGTGAATGAAGGAATGGTGGAAAAGCTGAACAAATTAAGGGCAATTAAAGATGACAAAGTAAAATATTATAAAGAAATAGATAAAGTAAAATAGTATGATGAAATGTGCAAAGACCTTGAGTCAGAAAGTTAGAAATGAAGCATATGCTTAGCATTTGTCAACTTGGGAAAGGATTGAAGAAAAATTCAAGGCTTGGGTATCAATACTGAAGGATTCGATGAGCAAAACAGTGAACAATGTAGGAAGCATAAAAAAAAAAAAAAGATGGAAGGAGTACTCCGAATGAGTGTACCAAAAAGACTTGGTCAGTCAACCATTTCAACAGACAGCATAGGGTTCAACTCCAATTCAGTCCATTCCAGG